ATGTAAAAGAAATTAGGCCTATTGCTGAAATGATTAGTAAAAATGTAATGAAAATCCATCTATGGGAAAGGGGTGCCAGACGGACATATCAAACCCAAATCGGATAATTACTCGGAGTATTGACTTTCAAAAATAGCATATTAATTATCAATGATATCAGTTTTCCATAACATCACTACTAATTCTGAAACGTTGACGATAAACCTGGAATCGTGTTCAGATGTTTTCAGAAACACACTCACACCAACGCCCAAGTGCACTTTGCGCCCTATTGGATAGTGTTTACAAAATCACGTTTCGCGAAGGCCTGTATTGAGATGCCAATTAAATCACTTATATTTCATATTCAGCGGCGACAAATGCATCACTGAATTCTAAGGCTGGGACGGGTACTCGAATCCGGGTCGGGTACAGCTGGAATCGAGTCCTATTTCTAGGAATTGAATACCCGTAAAAGGAGAGAACTCTGTAATGACAAGGGCAGACAATAGCTTGTCTTTTTCGTTTTTGACGTAACACACATTTACATCATTGAGTGAGTGAGTGAGTGAGTTTAGTTTTACGCCGCACTCAGCAATATTCCAGCTATATGGCGGCGGTCTGTATATAATCGAGTCTGGACCAGACGATCCAGTAATCAACAACATGAGCATCGACATGTGTCAACCAAGTCAGCGAGTCTGACCACCCGATCCCGTTAGTCGCCTCTTACGACAAGCATGGGTTACTGAAGATCAATATTCTAACCCGGAAATTCACGGGTTTTTACATCATTGGTATTGTCCGATTAATGGAGCATAGTTTTAATGACTGTAATTTATCTGTGCATGTGCAGTGAGTAGTTAAGTTACAGTAGCAGCAGGAACTAAACGTTCGTTGTTATAGATAACGAGGAATGTAAGTGATGGTGTTACTCTCTATATTGGTTAAACAGACGTAAATTAAATAGCTTGAGGTCAGTTTTGACGTCTTAATACCACCTTTTCAAGTTTTCTATAATAGTCTCTGTCAAATCGTGATTGTATATTCAGAAAGTTGACCCGAATGTGTTTCTTACATTTCCGGGTACTCGATTCCGATTCGGGTAAGTACATGCGGGTACTCGATTCCATTTTTTCCTACTCGTCCCAGCCCTACTGAATTCCTCATACATTTTAGTACCTAATTACAACTGGTCTTTGTCACCAATACCAAGTGTCTAGATAAGCTGAAACGAAAGATATTGGGGGTAGAAACAAATGCTGTGCTCGAAAGACACCGAAAGACTTTATACTGTGTAGCATTTTCTCAAATTTTCAGACACCCATTTGCATGGAAAGAGCATAGTAGCAAGAAATAGGAAATTAAAAATAGATACAATACAGGAATGTGATGTGTTTATACGAAACTGTCAAGTTTCTGTGCAGCGTGACGCCATGACTGACGCAAAATCACGCAGAACGACAACAGTAATAATCGGCATTTCTGGCCGCTTCTTCTCTTTCTTAAAATGAAAACGATAAAAACATGTAACAATACACAGATAGTCATTCTGATTACTTACATCTCATATTTATGTACAAACGATCCCTGAATCAAAGGAAGGGTCCTCGCAAAACCAATGTCAGCCGTCATTTTTTAAGAAATCTCAACGGTAGATTCTAGTGATGTCATACGTCAACATTAATTGTTGTACATATTTGGCAATTTCTCTGAGGTGAAGGTCGGTAGAATAAGAGTATACACAATCACCATATCCCGCCGATTACACTTTCAGTATCATAATGTAATCATTCGGATGGTTTTTCATGAAACTAATTTAATTATCTACATTTAGTCTTGTTCAATATTATATCATACGTGGGTATAGGGTGTACCTGTTTGATTCTTTGAAAGTGTTTGTTTGAATAATATTTACAGAAGAAATTTACACATTTAGTGTAGTAAAACATATATAAACCTTTACACAAGTGTTAAAAGATGAAACGTAGGCATCATGTTCTTGTACAACATGTATTTTAGTTCCTATGAGGTGCATAGTTACGGTTTCGTATGTAACTCTTCGTCAGAATCATTTCCAATATCGAAGTCCAGTCCACGATACACCCTATCCTTTCTTGGCCTCATGGTAGCAGTGTTACCCATGAACACCATTTGCGAGTTAACCACACTGTTAGACCGCCTCCGTGGTTAGAGCGTCCGCCCGGACAGCGGGAGGTCGCGGGTTCGATCCCCGACCGCGTCATACCAAAAGACGTTAAAGTATGGTACTTGTTGGTCCTTGCCTTGCGCTCGGCATTAATGGGTACAACAAGGAGTCAGTACAATGTGTCTGAGTGGGGTATTCATGCTTCACTGCGGCATGGTATCTCAGTGGGCTAGCACTATAAAAGCAGCTTAAGTCTGGGCTAGTACAAGCAGCCGCACATACACATACACCCGCATGCACGTCGTCATATGAGCGAAATATTCTCAAGCACGACGTTAAACCCAATTTCACCTCACCTCACCTAACCACACTGTTAAAAAGTTAGCGGCGGTCCTTAGGTGTGTTAACTTTACGTCACGTTAACAACCTGTTTAAAGTTAACAGAGTTATGAACAACAAGATAACCCTCTGTTATTAGTTAACGGTCGGTTAAATGTACTTAACGGCTGGTTAAAAGATAACCGAGTTTTGAACAACCGGGCCCTGAAGTTTAAGTCTCAGTGAGCGAGCTTTAAGAAGTTATCTGAGAGGGCGTTCTACTATTTAATCGTACCAGGAAGAAAAGAGGTACACTTATATGTCGAACTACCAACTGTTGCTAGGAAGGCCTACGGGATCGTGGCTTGTTTCTTTCTTTTTTTTATTCCTCTCCAGGCAATATGCCACCTTTAATAATCCTGTTCACCAGTATTCTGAAGCATTTGCCACTATAATGCAGGTATTGAAACGTCGGCTACATGGATCTTTAGATCATACCTTTCACTCACTTCAGATCATTTATTGATACAACATATTTGTAAAGGCCTTAGGGTTACTAGGAAGTTGCCATTTTGTCACGTTATCTTAGGGTGTTATCAATGCTTCAACCAAGCCTGAAATCTAGTTTGTAACCGTGATTTCATCCCATGTAACACGACAAGTAGATGTCCTCTAAGCGGTCTTCAAGACTGAACAAATTACGTCTTTATCTCGTTGTCACTGCTGTTGTTATGATAAACAGACGAATGCAGTAAATCCCTATGCGGGGGTCCCTCATAAATCAAGGGAGTGCAACGTACACTTTTTTAAATGACAAAAACAACCTGAGCCAGTCACGTGATATTCGAAGATCGAATGTCCCGTAATCGTCATTCCTGAAAACCGTAATGACATTGTTGTGTCGGCTCACACATCACCGTTTGCTGTAGTGTTAACTTGCGTTGATGAATAATGTATGTGCACAGCAAACCTTTTCGCCTATTTTGTTACCAGAGCATATTTCCATAAATGACACATTGATAACATACCAATTGGTGAGCCAAACTGAAACTAAGATGAGGTGATTAAAACAATCCCCTATATTTTAACGTAAAAAAAGGAGCGAAATGTTACAAACATTTTATGACACACGCTGAATGTTAGGAGTGGTGTGTAGAGAAATGACTTAAAATGGAGGAATTAAATGAGTGGCATATTGCAAACAAACGGAATACGTTCCTGCATGATAAACATGCAAATTGTGAATAACGCGGAGTCGACAAAGCAAGGTCCAGTACCCTTTTAGTTTATGTGGTTCCCATCTCCAACCTCAACGAGTGATTGACGTTTACGTCACACTCAACAATATTCTAGCTATATGGCGGCGGTCTGTAAATATTCGAGTCTGGCCCAGACCATCCAGTGACCAACAGCATGAGCATCGATCTACGCAATTGGGATACGATAACATGTGTCAACCAAGTCAGCGAGCCTGACCATCCGATCCCTTTAGTCGCTTTTTACGCCAACCTCAACGGGAAACTGGCGAGATGTTCGTCTTCATACAAAACCTCCTACAAGCGGCATGATTTCCATGTGCTACATGCATAAATTGTCATCGAGTTTTCATAGCCATGCATGGGAGTCACAAGAAGATGCATTTATGAACGACACAGTAAGAGAAACAGTTTTATTCTTAATGTCTGTCCGGAATGAGGTAATAAATCGATGGACAATGCCAGCACAGAAAAAGTGTCAGATCTTACACGAGCTAAGAATAAGGAAAATAACCTTCCACCAGTCAACCATCAAATATGTCTGGGACAACCCTGAAAGGCGTGTACGTCAACATCAACAGCTACCGACCACCATCAACGAACAGGAAGATCAGGATAGAATGAAACAAGCCTACATTGAACACTTGATTATGTGTATGTTTCGTCGTATCCGGTATTGTGTTGAGAACGGAGACAGTTTTACGCGATATTAATGGGATTGACTTTCATAGTAAATGACGTAATGGACAGTAGGCTGCTTTGGCCAAACATTTAACAAAATGTATGGCGACCCGACGTTCAGCAACAGATGTAAATCACAGTTAGAGTTTCCCATTACATTGAACTATCTCTCTCATTAAGGAATAAAACACCAACCGAGTAAAACCCAAACCCCCACCCCCACCCCCCCCCCCTCCCAAAAAACACAACAACAAAATAAAACCCTAAAACATAACCACCCCCCAAACCCCACCACGTGTACGGGATGTATTATCTCATTTATGGACGATTCCATCTCTTAAACACTGCTTCATTATAACTGAATTTCTTCGTCAATACCACCCTTGTACCTTTCGGGAAAGCCACGTTTTAAGCGCTAGGCCATAAAATCCCATAGTGATTAATTCGGGTCGGCTGGCAGTCAATCACGCACAATGGAATCTACCTTTAATAATAACCCACAGCAAAATACAGGGTTGTCCTCGTTGTATACTGATAATATAATACAATAAACATTTTGTAGTTATAATATGATTTAAACATCAGTTTTTCTGCCAATAAACCACAACATGCCTTACCTTCAACACAACACGTCTTCTAACTAAAACAGGTGGAGTCACATGATTGTGTTACTGTCATTGATTGGACGAGGTATGCGTCATACAGGTAAGATCAATACAGACAGCTATAAAAATATAGTGGACATTTCAGTGTAAGGTCAAGTACACACAATCTTCATATTTGCACAGGACATGTATCAAGACTAAACAAGCGATTGTATCCAACACATATAAATACCCGTCTTAGTAGACCGGCAAGCCACCATTTCGCAATTCGCCATCAACATGCACAAGCAGATAATGGTATTCGAGCGTAGCATAATAGCATAAAGTGTGCTATTATTCCCGGGCCATACAGCTAGTTGTTCGCGTGATAAAAACGGATTAAGGCTTGAAATGACATTCGCTGCAGGGGCGTGAATCGTGCTCAGTTGGTGTATAACGAGCTGAACAGGTAGACGAGAGAGAGAGAGAGGTAGACGAGAGAGGAAGAGAGTGAGGGGGTGGTAGACGAGGGAGAGAGAGAGAGGGGGAGGTGGGTTAGAATGGAATTCAAGAAATCTGGTAGCATAAAATCGATGCTACATATAAATTATGGATACAAAGCAGTGTAGTGGTTTGCTCGTTGAGAATGGGTATTGTAATGTGAACCCCAGAAAAATATGCAGCTTGGATCGGAGTGAGTACTCCTGACATTCATAGAGGCTCGAGTATAAATATCAACTAACAATCTCTGCTCAACTTTGATGTTCATGTTTTCTGAACGGTCTAATTGTATGTTCGTGTATTTAATGTATGAAGTCACATGCGTGCGCATAATACGTGACTTTGTGTCATTATACTGATCATCGTCCATAGATTACTTTCATATGACAACTCCTTGATCCTTGGAATACTGACTATTAGACCGAAAACAGCTATATGAAATAATATGTGTCCCAGAAAGAGTTTGACAAAAACGTAGTTGTGCTCCCAACAAAGTGTCAATCAAGCATCTTGAAAAACATGCACGAGTTGAAGATAAATGAGATGTCTAGTAGTGACTAAATGCAATATCCCTTCTTTTTAAAAAGAAATACCGACAGTAATCTTTATATAAAAACAGATGGGTTGTTTAAAGGTCACATGCAAAGTAAAACACAACTTTGCAGATTCTGATACCTTTCGGTATGGACTTACCGAAACAAATCGTCAAAAAATGCAAATTCAACTTATAAAGTTGAAAAATAACGCGATGAAAAAAACCGCGCGAAATCGGAGTTCAAACGTTTCACTAATTTTCCCCCGACTTTTCTGGGGAAAACTGGTTTCAACAGCTGGGCTGCGCTCATAGCACGTGCGCAGTGAAATAGGTTCGCGGAGCTTGGAAGCCGGTTGTCCGGTGAATACTCGGTGAAGGCTTTGGTGTGAGCTATTTTTCTAATGTTTTGTTGATATCTCACAGGCGCGAGCTTTTTATATGTTATGACAGTAAATTAACTGTTTATATAATTTCATTTGTCTATTTCACCACACGTTCTTCTTACCGAGTCACTTTCTCAGTTCGATACTTGAAAGCAATGTCATTATTTAGCGTTGACAGAATTTCTAACTGTGATATAGATATGTTGTTGTCACAGACAAAACTCAATGTCTTGTTTTATTGACACCTATGTGTCTGCCTGCCTGTCTGCTAATGACAATATTCAATACACAGCTGCTATCACTGACCACATGCAATTTGAACTTAACACTAATCAGGCTATACACCATAAACAAAACGCATTGATTTATGGCCCGAGTTCGGTCTCTGTCACATTATGTAATTACACAGACAGGCAGGTGTGATACTTGAACACATGACATGTTATGATGTCTGTTGATTGTAAAATGTTATACACAAAAAATGAGCATGTATTTACAAAACCCAACATCTCTATACATACACACACAATGAGCCGTGAGGGCATCTGCAAAAGAACCAGCCGTTACACTTGAGTGCACACCCACCCGCTCTGACTGGGTTCGGTATCCCGGCTGCTTCGTTTCTTGGGAAGTAAACACAAGTACACAATATTGCCCTTTTGATTTGCGATTGTACGCTTATAATTTTGTTTATATGTTTTTTCATAACCAGCAATGTATATTATATGTCATGAATAAGTGATAATTGTGTTTTAATTATGTTTGATTTTTTGGTTGCATGTGACCTTTAACATTAAGATTGATATATTTACTGGTCAATCAAACTTGGTTTTAAGGCACACAGGTGCCTTAGATTGTCAATCATCTCTGTCAAGAAGGGACAAAATGATATTTTCTCAACCTACGGGCTTGTGTATCATGTGAACATTTGGGCAAGAATTAGGTATGCATTAATACCATCGTTAATATTTCGTGGTAGTGGCGTTGACGAAACTGATCATTACAATGAGCTTCATTTTTAGATCGGACACGACAGGTATCTGTAGGATGGACTTCGAGAGCTGGAGGGACGTGCGGTGATCAGGAAATTGCAGACAAATGGTTTAGCACCAAAGCCATTTCATAACGGTTCATATTATGCTGCACTTGCTGGACAATCATTGGATGAAATATAGATTGAGAGACTGGGGAAGCTGAGAATAGTTGTTCTCTTCCAGTAAGACAACGTGCCAAAGCAGCTGCAATCCACAAGAGTGGTATTGAATTCCTCCGTCAGATTTACATGTGTTCCCACCAAGACATAAAAAACTCAAACTGAAACTCAAACGACGTCCTCAGAACAGTGCAGATCTTTATTACACTCGAGACGAGGACGTGGGCATATCAGGTACAAGCATACAGCATAATGGGGTGGTACTTATTTTTCGTATGTTAGGGAGAAGGAATGTTTGTTTGATAGGTGGTGTACTTCAAAAGAGGTCAATGGTAATGTTGACATTTTAAGGCTGTTGATTTTCCTTGAAGATTTTAAACAGTGGTCTCAGGAAACAATCGTTATTATTTTGACGAACAGAAAGTTGATCAGTTGCACCAGGCTGCTACATTGGAGGACGATTATTCTCTAACCCATATCATTAGGTGTAGGCAATTCGGATTTCAGGCAGTAGTTCCCAGGTTAAAAACCAGAAAAGGATAGTTCAAACTCTCCTAGTTCAAACATTTCAAAGTCTAGTTCTGAGTTTGTTCACAAAAAGTCAAATTCTACTGTAGTTAGTTGTAAATCTACTTCCAGATGTTCATCAGAGCCTACATATAGACATTGCCGTAAGCCAGGGTATGTCTTTTATGTGTGTAGAAAGCTCGCTTTGAAAAACCGTCAATCTTCCCCCAGTGTTTTGTTGAATGTCAAGTCACAGCCTTGTACTATTAAACCCATTCGAACATTTGAAGAGCCATAACTGGTTGCGTTAATCCTTTGCCTAAAACTAAATCAGTCAGTCAGTCAGTCAGTACATGCTAACAATTATGTGTGTCATAGAGTAAACCAGTGAAGCTTCTTTAAGACTTCATGCATATATTCAAACGACCTATTTGTTTCAATATATGTCCAAAGTGCACCTAATTTCTATCCCCTTTGTCTGTTTAATGTATTCAGCAAACAATCGGTGTATCCCCTATTATCATAAACCCCCCTCCGGGTAGGACCCTTAATTCTCAATGCTATCGGTAAATGTCAATTAACACCTCCCTCCGTCGGCGGATCTTACGTACGTGACCTTGCACAACGTGGCGTAATGTCCCTATGTATAAAACCTTACTGTCATGATCAGTCGGGGAGACGAGACGAGACGAGCAGTCTAGGAGACGGGCCCAGATCATCGACAGAGGCGGACGGATTGTGCGGCTGGTTGTGACGTCGGCGAAGGCTGTTGCCTCTCCAACGACTACGTCGACGATGAAGATTCACCGTCCGACTTCTGCCTTTGAGTAACTGACGGAACGATTCTCTGCACCGGGAACATTGGCCACTGGGTTCCGGTGTGCGTTGTGTCACGTGCTTACCATCAACTTGTACCATTTCGCCCATTATTCCCCGACCATAATAAAACATTTCTGCTGTCGTCTTCAATTCCACCGCTGACTTTTGTCAACTATCCTGAACTAATCCGAGAGCATCACCCCAAAGAAAGACCTAGGTCATGTGTGCTGCCACACGGTTTCCAGAGACTATTAAGTTAAGTCCAGTGGATAGTAATCATATTTATCCAGTGGATATTTAATCCTAAATCTCAGTTCGCTCTGGAGAGATAACATGAGACTCTCTAGAATGTCATAAGGACTTACTGAAGTATTGGGATGAAGACATTTATTTGTTATTGTTCGTTGTGAGTCAGTTCAGAAGTCCTTAGGTTTCAGTCCGTTTGGCCATACAAACCCTTTAAAACACTTAAAGGAGTAATGGTTTCATGAATGTCTTAAATGGATTTGTTTCATAATTTTAGCCTAGGCTTCCGAAAGCTTGTGAAATTGGTGGGGATAATTTGAAAGAATCCCAGGACACGATGAAAATTGATTGTGACAAGAAGTCTCAAGAGAGAGCTGTCAGTCCTGGCGATACAGTGTTAGTGTGTTTGCCATTTCCTGGTTAACCATTACATGCAAGGTACAATTGGTCATTGATAAATAAGTCAGTGACACTCACTATGTTTTCCTAACAACAGCCCGTCAGAAAAAGACACAAGTTTGTTATGTCAATATGATCAGAAAGTATCATGAAACAAGTGACAATCTACTCAGTATGTTGCCACTGTCGCTCCTGTCGATAAGGTATCAGATAATGATACTGATGAGATATGTGACAGCGTTAGCCCTATGGTACACAATTCTGAAGTTTTAGCCAACTTAGATGTTAAAGCTAGGTCATTTGCAATCTTAGCCAAAAGCTAAAGTGTCCGAATTAATTCAAGAGTGACTCAGCTCACTTGTTTCCAGATGCGCCTGTCCTCACAGATTTAGTGTGTCATGACGCAGACGTAGGTGAAACAATATCCCTAACGGATAACTCGAAGCCCTGAAGATGGAGGATCAACATATAATTGAACCAAGTGACTGGAGTTTACTTTGTATTCATGTACCAAAGCCTGAAGTAAGTTATAGCTGCTGTACCGATATGAAATGTGTGAACGCTGTTTCTAAACGTT